CCCACGCCCCCCACCCCCGCCCCGGCAGCTGAGGGGCCGCGGCCACCGAGATGAGGACGGCTACGCGGGCCGGGGGAGGGGCGTCGAGACGTGTCACCGCCGCCACTGCCGCCGCAGGCCGGGCCAAGTTTCTCACCTGCAGCCGGAGACGCAGCGAGAGAGAGGGCAGGAGCCGCCGCCGCCCCGGAACCGCGAGAGACCAGCCAGCCGCCGCTGCAGACGCCGCGACCCCGACGCTGCCCGCCCCGTCCGCCGTCCGCTCCGGCCGCCCGCTGGCTGCGTGCGCGCGTGTGGAGTCGTGGCACTTTCTGCCTCGGAGCTGGCGAACGGCCCCCTCCGCCGGGATCGCCGCCTCCTGCCTTCCCCACCCGGGCCAGCCATTCATCGAGCCGTCGCTCCCTATTGGCCTGTGCCCCGCCACTCTCGGAGCTCCTGGCCAGTCAGGGCGCGGACGGCTGAGCCACGACGGCGACCATTGGCCAGAGAGGAGGGCCTCCGCCTCGGCCAATGGACGAGGGGAGGAGCTGCGGGGAGCCGCGGGGGGCGGGGCCGCGCAGCGCTGCGCTGGCCTCTGCGCGGGGGCGGGGCTCATTTCCCCGCCCACCAGGGGGAGGTCGCCGCCGGGCCCGCCCACTCCGGGCCATGGCGCTCCTCTCTGAGATCGCCACGGCTGCGGACTTCCAGCTGGCCGCTGCGCTGGGGCGGGCGGCGCAAGGTTCGAATCCCGGCAGCCCTGGCCTGAGCTTCTGGGCACCGCAGGGCCTAGGTGGCGGTGGGCGTCACCCTGAGTAGATGGCAGAACTGGCCAGACAAAATGCTTTATTTAAACCCAATAACTTTGCCCAGAACACGGCCGCCTCGGGCCGGTGGGTCTGAGAACCAATTCTCCTTGAGGTCAGCCCAGGGAAGGTAAATCCTTATCTTCGCGGAGATAAATGGAGGAATCGGGGTGGAAGAGCCAGCGGATCCTCTGGGAATTCGGATGGCAGCCTGCACACTTTGTTAGGGGGGATCTGTCTGAAATCTGTGCTCCCCCAAACCACAGCCGGCAGGGTCACCTTAGGGCTTTTGTTCCAGGTACCAAGGCCACAAAGAGGTTCCAATCCAAGGAAACTCACCTATGCCCTGGGCAAGCCAGTAGTGGATCTTCATTGCATGAATTTCTCTAATGTTGATCGACACTCTCTTCCTAACCAGATTCAGCTGAAATAATTTTAGGCTTGCTTTTTAACCATTGGAACAGTGTCTCTTAAACCCTTTGAACCTAAACAGCTTCTTTGAATTCAGGTTCTTAAGGGGCCAGAAGGCCTGCAGCTGCTGATAGGCCCCACACCGCCCCCAGATGGCCAGGGGGCTGTAGGGTCGCCAGCACCCGCTGAATCTGCGCCATTTCTCTACCAGCAGCAGCTGCACTTGCCATTGGTACTACAGGAGACATTATTAGAAAGATGTGGAGAAGAAAAACCTTCCCAAGAGAATAAAGGGTTAGAGTGAAATTAAACCATTTATTCCTACTTTCAACTAGGTTTCCCAGCACATTAATGATTAATGGACAGGCAGTACCTGGATGAGCTCTCTGCCCTTATTTTCTAGGAGTGAACCCCACTTTGGAATAAAAATTCAAGAATCCCAGCTTCTGATTGGAAGTTACTTTGAACACATGTATCCTATCCTTGCCACTCTCTGAAGCAGCTCTAGAAGCTCTTTCATGAGCGTGTTTAGGTGTAGCAATAAATAAAAAATACGGCGCATGCTGCTGTTGAGTGTCATCCAACAGAAAGGCAGCTTCTTTGTTTTTGTTTTTTGTTTTTTTTAGACAGGTTCTGAAAACATGACCCTGTGTCCTCATCCATATTCACAGATCTGGCACATTCCAACTTCTGGATCCTCCCCAAAGTACTAAATGAGTGCTGAAGAAAAACGTTGTGAATGTGTTCAGGACAATGAGGCAGCCACAGCAGTGCAACTAAAGTCACTCTGGAAAGAAGATTCCAGAGCTGCTTCAGCAAGTGCCAAGAATGACGGAATAAGTGTCCAACATGAGGGGGAGGGAGAGTCGTGGCTGTGGGCCTCTTCTGTAATACATCTTTGGTTTGTTTTGCTTTGCTTGGGTTTTTCTGGTTTTGTTTTGTCTTTTGAGACCCGAGTCTTGCTGTGTAGTTCAAGCTGGCTTATGTAGCCCAGGCTGGCCTTGAATTCACAATTCTCCTGCCTCAGCCTCCCTAGTACTGGGATTGTAAATATGTGCGGCCACGCCCAGCTGTAATACATGTTTTAAAATGTAAACATTCACCATGTGTTATGGTCGCACTTTCTAGATCCAGTTTAAAAAAAAAAAAAACAACAACCATCTGCCTAAGCGCCTGCTCCTGGGCAGCAACTTCTTTATCTTGTTTACTGTTTTCTTAAAGTTTTCTCATTGAGAGATCCTGGAAGAAGGATTTTGTTGGAAGACAGTCCCCCCTCAGATTTGGAGGAGGATTGGTTCTGTTATTAAGTCCTGGGGTCTCCTTCCAGAAGTGTTTTGTAGGTTCTTTGCTTCTTTCTTTCTTTCTTTCTTTCTTTCTTTCTTTCTTTCTTTCTTTCTTTCTTTCTTTTTGCGGAACCAGGGATTGAGCTCAGGCCCTTGCACTTGCCAGGTAAGCACTTATTCTACTGAGCCATCTCCCTGGCCCCAAGAGCTATCTCCCCAGCCCCAGTTCTTTGTGTCTTGAACAAAGGAATTGGACAAAACAAACACAAAAGGTTTTGCATTTATTAAAGGCAGGAAAGGAGAGGTGCTTTGCAGAGCAAGTTTGGACTCCATATAAGTAGGAAGCGAGTATACTCTGCAGCCTGAGAGCTGACCACCATGAGAGGGAGCATGGGAGCCCAGAGCTCCAGGACCGCTGTCTTTGGTATCTCCTACTCCTCAGGCTGACCTAGGCCAAGGATGGCCCATGGAAAACTTGCTCAGTTCTCTCAAGAAGAACTGGAGCCAGAGCTCTGACTGGCTCTATATTCAAGGCCTTGAAACCTGTGCTGCACGTGTGACCTGTTAATGAACAGGTCTTCCCCAGCCAGTCTGCCATGCCCTAGTCTCCCACTGCGGTTCCCAGACCCACCCCCCCATACCAGAAGCTGAGCATGCCCCAGGTTGGCATGCATAGCACCTATACACATCCTCCCGAGCACTTTAATCATCTCTACGCTGCTTGTAGTGCCTAGGACATCAGTGCTGCGTGCATAATTGAACTGCATTTCTCAGGGAATAATGACAGAGGCAAAGTCTGTACATGTTCAGCACAAGTGCAGATTTTTTCCAAAATATTTTGTGAACAACAGATGTGGGACCCATGGAGCCTGTGCTGGGGAGGGGCCATGGCTGGGGATGACTCTAGGAGACATTGGGAGGAGTGGGGTGAGCGGAGCCCAGTACAAAGCAGTAATAGCCATTGGGGGGTGGGAGAACACCTCAGAGATACCACCGCCCACATGGGACAGACTTCCTGGCTGGTCAAGCCCAGGCCACACTAGTCAAAGCCCCTTCTGGGGGAACTCAGCTCACCCCACCCATCACTCCACAGAGAAAACCCTGCAGCAGGGAGCAGCTGGCAGAATTGCCACCATGACAGCTCCTGCAGGGAGCCAGCCATGCACTATACCCATTGGGACAGGCTAGGAGCTAGCAGCACCACCCTTCAGCACCAGCCAGACAGACAGCCATGGTGGGGTCACAGCATTGGGGGAGTGAGGGTCACTTGCAGAAGGCTCTCTGGTTGTTCTTTCCTCTGATTCAATAGTGGGTTAGGCCTGAACACGGTGTCTGATTCGGCATGGACCAGCACTCTGCGCTTGGCCTTCCTCATCCCCAGCTGTCCTGCACGGCCCAGTCTTCCAGGCCACACTCCCTACCCCTGCTCAGCCTCAGCAGCCCCACCAATGATGTGAGGCTAGGACTGCAGGCTGGGGTCTCCCCAGTGCTGCAGGGATGGGAGATAGGAGAGGCATCACCCACTGGCCCCACAGCCCCAGCCAGGTGAGGAAGGCTGTACCCCCAGTGGGCCCAGGGCCTAAAACACAGGTCTGTAGTGTTCCCAATGACAAATGGACCACAGGAGCATAGATAAGCCTGGGAACTCTGGGCAGGGGTCACCCAGCATAGGTTGGTAGAGACCAGAAGACTGCAGGACACACAGCATAGACACCCAGGGACTGAGAAGGTGCAATGGGGGGACAGCAACCCGGGAAGTGCTGGCTGGGAGGGAGATGCCTCCTCAAGGTGATCCTGAGGGACTTCCTTGGAGTGATGTAAGTGCTCCATGTATTGATTATAGTGGTCATTTTGTGGCTGTGATAAAACATCAAATTGTACACAATAAAGCATTCTTATTAGGCACAATTAAACATACAGAAATACCTAGCATGGTCTGTTAATCCATGACAGTGCTTTGCTTTATGTTACTAAATTGCAGACAGTGAGCTGGGGCTACAGCTCAGTGGCACAAGCGCCTGCCTGGCAAGCATGAGGTCCTGAGTTTGATTCCCAGTACCATAAATAAATAAACAAATAAATAGCAGATAATATTTTAAAAGATTAGCAAAAAGAAAAGTCTGGCCATGCATGATGATGCGTAACTGTAATCTAAGCACTCTGGAGGCTGAGGAAGGAGGATCAAAAATTCAAGCCCATTGGCACCAGGGAGATAGCTCAGTAGAATAAGTGTTTGCCTGGCAAGTGCAAGGTCCTGAGTTCAATCCCGGGTACCGCAAAATAAATAAATAGATAAATAAAATAAAATTCAAGCCCAGCCTCAGCAACTTAGTGACCTAGTGAGACCCTATCTCAAAATAAAGAAAATATAAAAAGGACTGGGAATATAGCTCAGTGTGATACCCTAGAATCAATATCCATACCCCATAATTAAGTTAGCCAGAAAGATAAGACTAGCTGGGCACTGTGGCGCACGCCTATAATCCTGACATTCTGGAAAGCTGAGGCGGGAAGACTGCTGTACATATGTCGTCAGCCTGAACTGCATGGTGAGAGCTCATCCCCCCCCCCAAAAAAAAAAAGCGGAATCTGTCTTCCAGTTTCAAAAGAGGTTTTTCACTGTCAACAACTGTGAAAGGATAATAAATGACAAACTGAAATACGTGAAGGAAGTACAGGTCTTCCCCCACACCCAGCATTCCCTGAGAGGCCCAACGAAAAGGTAAATTTAGCCCTCAGCAGGCCTTGTGATGGAGCGGTAGTTGTTATCTCATCCAGAGATGCGGGTGCAGGCCCAGAGAGTGGAAGATCTGGCCTCCATCACAGGGCTGCTGAGCAGGAGCGCGGGCTTCAGGGGCCCCTGCATC